ATATGATTTAACAAATTAATCATTAGAATAAGAATTATTACCACCTTGCCGGGCCAGTTCTAGGGGTTTTAGTGCTAGTTAAGAAGGCATTCATTTTACTATATCGACCTGAGAAATGTGTGACGTCATAGTGGTGGTCCATATGGACCGGTCTAGAATATATTCTGGACCGGCAATTTTCCCCGGGAAATTAGATATCGTTCTGTGCGTAAGATTTTCTTGCTATTTCAGCCCTGGTCGTTAACGGTGGTAATAATACTAATAACACCATTTCTGCGAGCAATATAGTGAAATATTGGACCTTGGGCCTTCGGCCCTCGGTCCAATATTTCACTATATTGCCCTTAGAAATTATGTTATTGTACTATTATTGAATTATCGACTATAGTAAATTATATAAGATTGGTCTGGAATTTTCAAATGTGCAATAAGCGATGTTAGGAGACGTCATTTGTGGTTATTTCAGTCATAAAGCACATCAAACCATACATAAACTCAAATTAGGCCATAAGAAGTAAATTCTTTGTTTTGCGTCCCCTTGCTTGCACGATTTTGAGTAAATCAGAAAAAACAAACACAACCAAAGAGCAATCACAAGGGTCTGAAAGTACCATAGCATTTCATTCAGTCAGAATCAAAAATGACGGACAATTTGATGCCAGTCGAAATTGACAGTGTTATTGATTACTTTGGCATGTATTGTGTATTTTCTTATTTTTGGTTACCTTTGAATAATAGCTATGTTTGAATATATTGTATATGATGTATGTGTTTTAATGTGTTTGTAATCACTGCAAATTGGTATGTCATCCCTTTTCCCATAAAATGTATACATTTCTTAAGCAAGCAAGTTTTTTTTTTCTTGAGTTTGTGTTTGTTTTCCTTGTACCCTTGCATGTTTTGGATTTAGCTAGGATGCAAAACAAAGAATCTATTTCTTTTGGCCTTAGTTTTATTGTCCAATATAGTTACATAATCAACTGTTTTGCATTATAACATCCTGTCTGATGTTTTATGAGATTCTTGTTTCAGTTTCTATTTATTTTTAGTACTTTGTGACAATTTATATGAAAAAATATTGCTTGTGCCTTGATTACTCATTTCACAATAACAGTTGATATATGTTGAAAATAGTATCAACATTCTGATACTCAAAAAACTATTATTACAGCTAGTATAAGATGGATTTTGCAACTAAGTTATAAATGTCATATGTTTATAACATATACATCATAATTTGTTGCATAGCTCTATACATCCAAACATATACATCATAATTTGTTGCATAGCTCTATACATCCATAAGTAGCAGATTTTCATTTTTAATCATTTTTAACCAACCAATGTCCAAAGATATTGATAAAATGATGTTCCATTATAATTTTTTATAACTCTATGCAAGATATCATTGGAGACAAACTAAAGTTGAAAGTGCGCTCAAAGTTGATATCACAAGAAATATATAGTCACTCTGAAGTATATTAAAAATTCAAGAAAATTTGACTATTACATGTACTTGTATTTAAAATGTTTGATAAAAACATAAGACATAACTGTTATTAACCATGCTTTTTGATCATGGAGATATCTTGCTCTGGTACAAAGTATCTATTCTAATCCCTTTAGATATATATTCATATTCCATGCATTTTCTGTCTAAAAAATTAGTAGTCCTAGGTTTTTCCTGTGTTTTTGCAATATTTACAACTTATAGTATGTCTATTAAATTAATATATTTGTACTTTTTACTTTTTGTAAATGTCGCTCTATACCCTTTGTTTAACTTTTACATGACCATTGCAACATTTTCATCCGGTACGATGTTCTGTACATGTCATGACAACTTGAAAATAATATTTTATGCGAATAATGAAGTCTTAATTAAAAAAAATGTTATTCAATAATGTTCTAGTAATGTACTTCAATCATGATTCATGTAAGTCTGCTTTATTAAACTATCTACCTTACACATGCAAATTACATCGGGGTCCGTACGACCAAATGCGCTGATCGAAAATTACGATTTATTACGAGGTTAGTTAACAAGCACCGTACGGTCAAGTATTACAGGCAAAAATTACAGGCTATTACGGGCCTTGTAATAACAAGCTCCTGCGAGGCTAAAAAATTACAAGCAATTACGAGAATCGTAATGAGGCCCACACGATGTTGTACAGGGCCCGTTGACTCAACGAACTCCATCTTGTACAGGTTTCGATGTAATTTGCCTGTGTGCAATATAACAATCCCTTCCCATTTAAGAACCTCTTTTCATCTAAAAATCCCTCCGCCTATAACAACCCATGTCCCTCTCATGATCCCCTTCTACCTTAACCACCCCTTCCATTTCAACCACCCTTTTACAACCATATGATCCGCATTTCAACCACCAATCTCTTTTCAACCATCCCGCCCTTTCAGCCCACCTTCCCCTTTCAACCACCCCTCCCCGTTTACCCATCCCTGCAATTTCAATCTTATTTCCTTCATAAACCATTCCCTCTTTAATCACCCATTCCTTTATCAAACACTATACCACCAAAAGAGAAATATGAATATAAAAATAATGCAAGATTTTTATGTTTAGAATATAACTGAAGCTCTAACATTACATTTTTTCATACCAATCATTTTATGTGATAACAGTGAAATATTACTCATTTAGATATCTATAATAAAATACCAAATGAAAAATAGCCATTATAATTACAATGCAAACTTTAAACAATTATCTTTCTGATTTAGTGTAACAGAAATAGGGATTGTAAAGGATAAAATAGATGATAAAATTGTTTAATTATGATGATCTCATACAGTTAGATATGGCTGGTTGTAGAATATTGTTTGTTCAGTTGTCAATTAGTTCTGTTATACTTATTGGAATTACACCTACGATGTTAAAATCCTATCGGGTTTCGACCCGCCTTTAGAGTCAGGTGTAATCACGATCGCGGATTTAGAAAAGCGCTTTTGTAATCCTCCCAGACCCCTAGTCATTAAAAACCGCTTTCACACCCAAAGGCGGTTTAACGTGTAGGTGTAATACTGATTGGTTTTCAAGGCGCTTGTGCATGTTTTCCATGCTTTCTTTAGCACATATTTGTTAACACCAGAGGTAGATTAAATACGATTTAAGAAAAAAAGGAACATACAGTATCGGATCATTTTGAATCTCCAGAGATGGCGCTACGGTTGAAAGTGCATATCTAAATAGCAGATTTTGATGCAAATGCGATGGTTGATGGCAAATTTTTGTCTTAAATCAGTCTAAAAGTGCTTTAGAAAAATCAAGTGTAATCACGAAAAGTTGTCTTCAAGGCGCTTTTAAAATTCTGGTGTAATCAGGATTGCGGTTTTCTAGCCTACGTTACCCAAAACGCCTTGAAAACGCCTTTAGTCATGAAATAGGTGTAATTCCACTAACTGAATAGAATAAAACATTATGTGGTTTTTATGTCACCACCAGAAGTCGTGAGTCATTATAGTCTCCAACTTTTTATGTTGGATGGTGTTCAGTGGTTGGCTTCCAGTATCTGTAACAAATGGCAGGTGGTGATATTTTGCATATTAATGCCTTGTTACTCATTTTCATGAATGATCTAGAGGTCACTATTTAGGTGTATGAAATGTGTCTGGGATTTTCCATGTGTATATTCAAACATTGGTGACTTTTCATAAGGAAAGGATTTTATGAAAAGTCACACAATGTAAAGCAGTAATCTCCCCAGCATAAGAGCAACTGGGCGCAGCACCAGCCACCCTTGACATATTTTTGCCCAAAACAGATAAATGAAACTTTGATTTACATTTTCTACAAAAACTGCTGATGTTTTATTTGGTAAAAATTTGATGATGAGAGTTAGCTACAAGCCTATATATCTTAATGCACCATATTCTATATTTTATTCCAAATTGCTCAAATTTCCCTGTAGTATCAAATCAAACATGATTGATCATTCTTTGCTAAAACATCATGCAACTTTAATCAAACATCTCCCAGATGATTGGTTAATCAAACAATGGTCATTATAGAGAGATGCGTCTGATGTGTCTTACAAAAAAGTTCTGTGGTCATACTTATTTTAATCATTTAATCCTTTTCTATAAAAAAAATTGAATGAAGTACCTTATTTTCAGGCATTTTTACTTAATTTAGAGTCTTTTCTACATGATGTACATGTTTGGTCAATTTATTGCATGTTCATTTAGGCTTCTCTGTTTATTTTGTAGTTCAAAACATTACCATCTCTATGGTATTTAGTTGCTCTTTTCTGGAAAAATCAATTCCTCGAATTCACCTAATAATGTCTCTATTGTCTACATAGTGCCTTTGCCATTTGCTTCCGACACTTTGAGAAGTCAAATACATTATTTTATGGGACTTTTGGGAATTTTTTGGAGTTCATGGATTCATTTCCAAAAAGTGCTTTCTCTGTATGTCTATGAATTTAAAAGCTTTGGCATTTTTACGTGATATAAATAATATGTCTTAAGTGAATCAGCAAATCCCTGCTGTATTTAGAATCTAGAATTGTATGCTCTGTTGAGTAAGAGACTAGTTCAATTTTCAATGCTGATGTACATCCAAAACATAATTGATATTACATTTTGGGAGGGAATAAAAGTCTATAGATTTTTTTTGCAGACATTTTCAAAAGGGTGAAGTTACTTATAATTCAAAATTTCATTAGCAACTACAAGGGTTGTCCCAGAAGTAATGCACTATATGCTCTAACTTTCTTCAATATTCTTCAATTCAGCTAAAATTTGGTGTATATAACAATTGAAGTTTTATCTGTAATATCCTATATGTCACCACCACAAATGGACCTCTTTTTTGTGGATGGTATTTGGTGACTGGTGTTTGGTATTCGGCTTTTGGTGGTTGATATCTGTAACGAATGGTAGGTGGTGACATTTTGCATGTTAATGCAAAATGATGCCTAGACCCCTGTTAGACTCCCTATAGTTGATGAAATATTTTTCTTGTGTGATTTCAGAGGCAATTGTATTAGTCCATAAAGAGTGCGCAGTCTCGAATCAACTAGAACCAAAAGGGTTAAGTTTTCTCTCAGCTAAGGCTCTGCCTGCATGGGTCGCTCTACTTGTGATCTTATTAGTTCTCTTCTATCTACCACAGAAAGCCTTCCATGCTTTAAAGACGTATAAGGTTAGTGAAAGTAAGTTACATCGTTGTAAGCCAGACCTTTTCCATTTTGTCCTTGTGAACATCTAAAATGAGATGCTATAAGATGAGAAATGCTATGAGAAGAATCACAATGGGCTTGTTAGTGGTTCTGGCTTGTATCTGAGCCTGATGTTTTGGGGATATTCAAGAGCCATGTTTGGTATAATAATTGAAGCCTGATTACCTTGGTTTGTACAATAGCATTGGTTTTTAAATGAGCGTGTGATTTATATGAAGTATAACATCCAATCATAAAGTCTAACTTTGGAGTGAGTCTGGAATTTATAAAAGTGAATTTTGTTCAATTGAAAACTGATTGAATAAAAATTTGAAAGAGTATGATCTTCTAAATTATGTGATAATATCCAAATTAATTTAGAAATTATTGTTTGAGAACACCTGTCTATTGTGAAAATATCTCAAGATGTGAACATTCCTGTATATTTGTATTCCTATAGATCTTGCATTGCTCCCATTTGAATGGATTCACTGTACTGAACATTCAAAAACTGGAATTTTTTATTTATTTTCATTTATTTATTTTCAGTTCAATGTATTTATGGGAAACCAGTCAATAAAGACAGCCACGACAACAACATTCCGTATAATTCACACCAAAATGCCAAAAACACACACCAAATGTCGAGGGACGAATCTTTCATACCCCAGAAATGACAAAATTCTTCGCTTCCCTGTGCCAGACAACAAGGTCTCCTGGGATACGCCATACACAGGATATAAACCTGTAGATTACACGGCAGATAGCGTCCTGAGTGGACCTGTATGGGCAGATATAGATGTCAGGTTAGTAGCAATTTAGAGGATTTTCCTAAATGAGTGACGTTTGTAGGAATATCAGTGATCATATCAATATCAATATCAGTCATCAGTCATCATTGAAGGATTGATATCTCAATAATAGGCTTGCACTCTCCCGAGAATCCATTTGCACCCACTTGCAAATGAAAAAAATCATGAAAAATATAAATTTTGTCTGGATCGTGAAAGTAAGAATTTTACACCCCAAAAACTCCTGGGGAGAATACTGAATAAAGTGAATATCTTTGTACATAATTAGTCTGTTCAGATGATGACTACTTTAAAGGTATCGATGAATTGTTTTGCCTCAACAAAAATTTGAAAATGGCTGTTATTCTTCCTAACAGAAAATACAAATTTTGCATCAAATTTAGATAAAACATTGGAAACAGTGAGCAGGATATTAAATAAAGGAAATGTTGTTTAGTATACCGAAGAAAATGTTGTTTAGTATACCGAAGAAAATGTTGTTTAGTATACTGATAATCATTAAATAGAATACCTCAAGGATCAGTATATCTATAAATTAAATGTGCAGGGGAATATTAAGTGGTCAATTGGAATGATTGGCCTAAGAAGTATACATATGAGGATTGATCTAATCAATATTATATTGAGGAATTGCTGCAGACCTAGCTTGCCAGCAGGTTACAGCACTTTTGGGCTCGAGTCTATAGCACAGGAAATTCTGAATATCTGATCACGTTCTCTGTCCTTATGTATTCTTCCATTGCCTACCATGTTAAAAAACCTTGAAATATGAACACCTGCTAATCTGAACACTTTTGGATGGTCTGAATGTTGTTCAGATTAGACAGGTTTCTGAACACTTTTTGATTGATCCTAATGTTGTTTAGATTACGCAGGTTTTACTGTAAATTCCGCATCTCAAGTAATCATTACCAAATATCAGGAAATGAATTAACAGTAAACCAGATGTAATAAAAAGTATTCATGACTTAAAATAGAAATGAATGAGTCATATTTAATATAGAAGGAAATATATACATGATTGTAAAAGAGTAGTAGTTTCAGGCTTGCTTGAAGTTATATGAATATTGATGGTTAATGTCAGTCCATAAGAGGGGTCAGAAAAGATACAATTCCCTTTAGTAACATGTATTAGATAAGTAATTATCCCATCGAACGAAGTTCGGAGGGATATAGGGAACGCCTCCGTCCGTCCGTACGTACGTCCGTCCGTACGTACGTCCGTCCGTCCGTACGTACGTCTGTCCGTACGTACGTCCGTCCGTCCGTCCGTCCGGGCAATAACTCAAATACCGTTGGCCCAATTTTGTTCATATTTTGTACACATATACCCTATGGGGGTAGAAGTTCTGCTCGAAAGCCGATTTTCAAAATGGCCACTCATTTCAAAATGGCGGCCATTTTAGTGCCGATTTTACAGTAATTTAGGTGCAATATGTAAAACTGTAATAGCAATATGTTTTAAAGGTAAAAAAATTATAAAGGACGTTAATAAAGCTACAAATGTAGATATTAAAAAAGCACATGGCAGCCATCTTGAAAAATGGCGGCCTTTACTCGTTATTTTACGATTTTTGCCATAACTCGAAAAGTAGTGGAGCGATTTTGTTCATATTTGGTATGTGAATACTATAAACATTGCACACTGTCTAAAGACACTTTTGGTAGAAGGCGGCCATTTTGAAAAATGGCCGCCATTTTAACGTTTTTTACTATAACTCGAAAAGTAGTGGAGCGATTTTGTTCATATTTGGTATGTGAATACTATAAGCATGGCACACTGTCCTATGACACTTTTGGTAGAAGGCGGCCATTTTAACATATTTTACTATAACTCGAAAAGTAGTGAAGTGATTTTGTTCATATTTGATATGTGAAAACTCTAAGCATGGCACATTGTCTAATAAAACTTTGGGGAGTAGTCGGCCATTTTGAAAAATGGCCACCATTTTTATGTGTGTTATTTTACAAGTACATGTGTGCGATTTTTCAAAAATTTTATAGGTGGCTTCTTAAAAGCATATTATTTCTTCTGATGACAACTTGGCTAGTGAGCAACCATTTTGAAAATGGTGGCCTTTCTGGTGTGTTGTTTTATGATATTTGCTATATATTTCGTTTGTAAAAATGCCAGCCATTTCTGTTCGATGGGATTCGCTACGCTTTGGCGTTGCCGTTGTTCTGGTTTTATAAAAGAACAGATCTATAAGTAGAACACTTTTGAGGCACCAAAGGTGTTCCACATTCACAGGTTGCAGGCCGTAGCCAGGATTTGCAAAGGGGGGGTTCAGTTTTCCAAAATTTCCAGGGGGGGTTCACATTTGACAATTTTGGCCCAAATATTGATAAAATCACTTGAGAAGTGCTCAAAATGGTGAAAAACTGTATGATTTTGAAATAATTTCTGGCTGGGGGGGGGGGGGGGTCGTCCAAACCCTGTGAACCCCCCTGGCTACGGGCCTGCTACTGTACATTTACCATGCATGTCTTTGGTTATGTAGTCCACATCCTCCAAATGCAGGACTCCCGATGAATCACAATGGAACAGAAAGGATGATGTCAAGAGCTCTGCATTTGGAGAATGCCATACCACTGCTTCCTCCAAACTCACTGAGAAATTTGTTCATTCATTTCAATGTTAAACTACCTTCATTCCCCTCCATGTTAAAGGGATGCTAATTATAAGCCATGCTGTTACTTAACACAAGAAGGATATTGGGCGAATCGGAGGAAGCAAAGCTCAAATTCCAAATCGAAAAATAGAAATATCATTCATCTTAATAACGTCTCAAGAGAAAATAACCGGAGTGTTCATTCCTATTTCATACTTATTTGTTGAAATTTAAATGAGTTGCTTGATATTCTTGGATTTATCTACTACGTAGGTGTCAGTTGCTTGTATGTATACTTTATTCCTTGCTGATTCCACTCTTTTCCACTCTATTTTGCATTTCGAAACATAGCCATCGTGACATTTTTCTTTCAAAGAAGTAAATATTTTCCCGAAGCACGGTGATCAATAATCAGACAGAGCATCTGACAATCCCTGGGGAACAATTTAAATGCAGGTCTCGTTCTTTCAATTACTCCTAATGTCATTCCATTTTCCTGTCATTTCTCTTTGAAAGTTACCAGATTTCTTGGTATTTCTACACAATTTGGAGTCTAAGCTACATGTGTATCAACTTTATTCCTTGCTTATTCCATGTTTGGTCATGTCATTTGGCATTTCAAAACATGACCCCTGTCATGTTATTGTTCTGCAGGAAGGTTAATATGATCCCCTTTATTTGTCTCTTTATGTGACATTAACCTAATCAGGCTAAAACAATGTTATTTATACTTCACGATAATGCAATTCTGGCTAGGATCAAAAATTATAGATTAACATTTCTCCAGGGCTCAGCTTTTTGCACCCGAACAAGAGCCGCCCCATCTTTGCACACTTGGTCTTCTCTGGGACCAACGGGAGCCGAATGAACAAAATGGTTTTAGTTAAGACAGAGTTAAGACTTGGTTACCATTTGGATTTGTTTGACTTAGCTTCTTAAAAGATAGCTTTATCTACATTCTGAGTTTAAGAGAAACCAGTCTGAACTAGAGTGCTTGTTGTCGCCAGAAGAACGATTTTCTATATATGGTAATTTCCTCTGAAATAATTATTTACTTATTTACATAGTATTGACCAAACATTATTTAAACATGTTTTTTCTGCTCACTGAGAAAATATCAGTTCAGACCTGATTAAAAGGCAACTGACGACAAATAGGGTACAACTCTAGCCTCTAATTTGACGACATGATCAATAGTTGTAAGACAGGGCAATATAGTTTAAAACAAATCCCTGTAGCACGCAATCTAACACAAGAAAGTCATCATGCCTTCATTGCAAATTAACCTTTAATCTTAAGATTTAGATGGTGTCATCCTTAACATAATTTCAGTAATTGCAGTCAGTGTTTAATAGATGAAGTTACCATAGCAACTAGATGATGGACATTTGAGATTATTGTGTTGTCTTATGTAACCACCCATAACTAAAACATTACTCTTGGGGTGCTATTTTATGCTGAAATTTGAGTAGAATGTCTAGGATATTTGTTGTTTTTCTACATATTAACGAAGATCAATAAATAGAAAAATCCTGTGAATCCAGATGAAGGGGTTGCCATGGTAATCCATGATGACATTTTTAGTCAAAATTACTGAAATTAGAATTTTGTGAAGTTGAGAAAACATTCTGGTGATTAAAGTGCCAGATGTGATCTGTATTTGTTATTTTGTTACTTATTGATATCAATAATCAAATCTACAGGAATGTTATGGTGACTTTGAGCTTTACAAAGTGACAAAAAGTACTAAAATCTGATATAATATGAAGAGTAGATTAAGAATAGATCTGAATTTAGAGGCATGAAAAGATTGTATGGAAATGAATGATAATCAGGCAGCCCTTTGAATTTAGCACATTTTCTTCTGAATCTTGGGCACATTTTTGGCTCTGTAGCACAATTTTAATTTTTGTGATAAAATCGGTTTTCCTTCCTGTGTTGAGGCTCATATTGTGATGGGATATTCTTATGAAAAAATCTGGGAAGAAAGCTGAGATGTATACTGACTATTTGATTTATTCTCATACAAGACATACTCTTGATTATCAGGCGATTCCAATCTGGGATGCTTGTTCTAATCTATATCACTCAATAGAGAAATCATTGGGGCATATCTAATTCCATTTTGTTTACATTTAAGTTTTTTTTTGATTTTATTAGAGTTTATCTCTGTAAATCTCAGAAAATGATGTAGAAACATCAGGGGTGGGGGGGGGGTCTTCAAGATTAGGCGCAATTTGGGTGATTTGAGATTGTTTGCCAAAATGCAATTGAAAAGATGGGAAATTGAAATCCTGTTCAAAAATTGCCACGATTTTAATGTTTTGAGATGTAAAATATAATCAGAAAGACTTGTATATCTGGTGGATCATTTATTGAGAA